TGTGAACTTATGTATATGCTGAATCTGAGCTACATGAAAAATGTCTCTTTTTTCTGCATGTTGTGATATAATTATTTCATCCCACATTTTCTCTCATTGAATTGGAAATAGTATGCTAAGTTGCTTGTAACTCTGTGTCATCTCTCCGTGGGGTTATGGTTTAGTACACGTTTTGATTTCGATCAATGGTTCAAGTGTCAAGTTTGATTTGATTCTTCATGCTATCCTTGTAGTTGGATACGGTAGCCTACTGTTGATAATATTTTGGTTTGAATTTGATGTTATTGATCAATCATTCAAAACAGAAAAACCGAGAAGAAGATGGTGAAACTGGTTTGAATTTAAGGTGTTTGATGAATAGTTCACACACTTCTTTTTCAAGTTCAAACGTGCCCACGTCTCATATTTGAATTCAACACATTGATTAAAGAAACATTATCTTGAATTCCTTTCTTGTGAATGAAAATGTCTCTTGGGACTTTTTTGTGTTACATTTTAGTAGATTCTTTCTCTTGATGTAAAAGGGCTCTTGGTTTCTTTTCTTTTTCATTTGGTTAGTCGTTTTAGCTAGCAGAATCAAAGGTGCAAGAGGAACTTGAAGTGATGGAACCCCAGGATGAAGAAGAGATCCATAACTGTTTAATCAAGCTGGTTGTCTTATTATTCCTTACCTTTGCTTATCTTTGTGGCTACTGTCTCAAATGCAGCATCAGCTAGTGAGTGATTAACTGTGTTGATGTTGCATTACAGAGAAGTAATCCTCGAAGGCGAAGGGATAAGGTTTACATTGGCTGTGGAGCAGGGTTTGGTGGTGACAGGCCTTTGGCTGCTCTTAAGCTGCTTCAAAGAGTTCAAGAACTAAATTATCTGGTTCTGGAATGCCTGGCTGAGCGGACTCTCGTTGATCGTTATCAAATCATGATGTCTGGTGGTGATGGTTACGATTCTCAGAGTATGCGTTTCCTGTTCAAATAAATTGTTTAGTTTCATTATTTGGTCTATATCTACTAACTAAGTCTCATATTGTACTATCTAGGGTGCTACATTCCAATTCTTAAGTTCTTTTAAGATGTGTAATGCACCTGTAGGTATAATTTCTCAGTTATATTTTAGACAGGAAACTGAAATTTATATTTATTAGAAAGCATGTTAACCATTTAATCATTTGAGTATATGACATTGAAGCCATTAGTAGTGATCCGATGGTTTGTGTCCTGCTCTTGTGTTTTTTCCAATCTTATTCTAAGTTTAACATCTGTAAATTTTTTCTGCAGTTTCTAACTGGATGCGTATGCTGCTGCCTCTGGCTTTGGAAAGAGGAACTTGCATAATTACCAATATGGGTGCAAGTAAGTATTTTCTGATGCTGCATCAGATGTAATGAATGACAATAACTATTGATTGTCCAAAGATAGTATGTTCAACATTGTTTTTAGTATTGATATATATGACTTCCCGTTTTTTTTCTAACTTCGCTAACTCTTTGGTTTTAATAGTGGATCCTCTGGGTGCTCAACACAAGGTCTTAGAAATTGCTGATAGCTTGGGTCTCAATGTTTCTGTTGCTGTGGCTCATGAGGTGTCTGTCACTAATATAGGTATTTGGATTTTCCTGTAAACTTT